CGCTCTTAATTAGCTTCTAATTAGTTTTATAAACAACCGGAGTTCCATTTAATGATTAGTATCAACAATGTGGGAATCTACATTAGATTTTTCTACTCTATTAAACCTGAAGGCATCTAAATGCTCTTTAAACCTAACTTTAATCGCCCTACGACTTTGACCCATGTATTCCTTGTAGCAATTTTTACAATAAATACTGTAAATTCCTGTTTTCCGTTATTTTATCTTTTGGATTACCTAAAAGACATTGTAAGCCGTTTTGATGGAGTATGAACAGCTGTTAAAAGAACTTCTTTAACACCATGGCTAGACTGGGTGTGACTTTTGGATAGAACGGGATTTTACAGTATTTTGGTTAACTTTCTTTTAGTTTGATTTATACTAGTTTCAAAAACCGTAACGTTTATACGTACCCCTCTTTAATAAATTTAATTTTGTTGGTTTTATTGGTTTCCGTTAAAGCTCTTAGCGAGGGATCATAACAATATCATAAGCTTTAGATTTAATCGTAGGATTATTTTAGACAACTAAACGTTTCGTGGAAATTCCACGGATTTTCTTATATGTAATTTGTAATTCGAACGTTCTGTTGTGAAACATATTTAATAACAGAAATTAACAAAAGCACTCTGGAATGTTTTCAAAAAGTTTTTTATTGTTTTGTCAATATTGCTTCGATCAACTACAATAAGGATTACTAAAGTTTAAAAATATCGAGTTTCGTTTTCAAAATCAACGTTTTAAACACAATAGTAGATAGTGTAAATTCAAACCCATGTGTTATTTTATTTTGGATACTTCTTGTCATTTATATTATTCACTCAAGTATCAAATGTGTACTGAGGTTTTTAGACTTTCAATTCCATATATTTTATACAGTAAGGTTAAAACTCGCATAAATTAAATGAAATGTCGTAAACATTAACATATATAATTAACGAGAAAAATCTTTTAATCAGTAATTAAATATTTTCCCATATACATGTCGAGGTTGCTTTTAATTATGCACAGTACTATTTTTATGTAATTATCAGAGGTTCAACAATTAAAATGTTTCCGAGTCACGGGACATTGAAACAAGTGACTAAAAGATCAGTGATCAGTGAACAACAACTATGTTTTACAGGGCTACTTCCTATTAATTTAAAAATACACACCGTCATTATACTCATGCTAGTTAATTCAAACCTCTCACTTATCTCTATCGCGAATACTTGCGTGTTGTCTGGCACCAGGCTAATTTTATATTCTTCTTCCGAAAATAAGATCGCCGTGAAAAACAAGCTATTAGTGGTTATGAAATGCACGGAGATATAAATATACAAAATACTTTGTTATGGGAAACTTAAGAAAAAAAACAACTCGATACGGACCTGTATTCATCAAAATTATCGAAAAATTATTTTTAGGTTTGTGTGTATCACTAGATACCCATACTATCGGTAATTAATTACTAGGATCGTTATTTTTAAAGGCAACATTTTTTTAGCCCTTGGTCAGGTTAGATTAGTTGCGAGTGACTTGCCTTCTCGGTTTATCACACAAATATATACATACAGGTTATGCAAAATGTTCACCGAATATATACAAATTACACATTTCTCTGCAGGTATTTTTTCTTTTTATTTTATTATTTTAATGTTGTTACTAGCTAGTCATTGCTATCAATAGCCAGTTTGCGCTTAATAGAGCAACACCTACCCATCGAATAGAATATGGAGAATGTGAAAAGAAATAATTTATTTACATGTTAAAAATATCTTTTAATATTAGCAAGTATAAGAGGCATGAATAATAGTTGATGATACTAACTTGAATTTGGTCCCTATTCCGTATCTTTTGTCAATAATTTGGCAGAATTTGACCTTTTTTAATGGAATTTTACAGTAGAATAAAGTAATGTAAAAAATGCACATTTTTGCATTTGTCTAATATTCCCGAAAAATTGTAATATAAATAATAGAGCTCTAGTCTTTTATTTTGAAATAAAAGGTAAATAAATTAGATCTTTTTTGTTGAGCAATGTTTCTAAAATAAAGCCTGTTTACCATATATTGTTAGTATATATATCATTGTTTTCACTTGTTATATTTATATATNGTCACAGCCTTTTTAAAAGGGGGCATGAGTAGGTATATGGTATAAAACCAATCCGAAACGTGCAGTCTTTATTTTGAAACGATCCTACTGTTAAAATTTAGTAACGTGTCGCAGGTTGATTGTCGTTACAATATATTTTGCGATTAGGAAAAATTAATATTTACTAGATATGTTTTTTTTCAGTTCCACTGCGGAATCAGTATGAAGGCTAAGGAAGGAGGTCATACGGAAATGGCCCACAAGAACGTAATTGTAATAGGTAAGTTTTGTCCTTGAAACAAGGTATAATACATTGGTATTTGTCCAAGTTTTTCCTACAAGATCCTTGTAAAAAAGATATCCTTTCTCATGATAAACATTAATACTTGAACGTCAACACCTCCGATAACAAATTGGTTGAATTTCGGCCCTGCATGGTTCATAATATTAGGAATATGTATTTTATATAATAGTTCGAAAAAAAAATTACATATTTGATGAACTTTTTTACAATTTTCGGTTAGAATTAAGTAGATAGGTCAAAATCCTGACGTGGTAAACCAGTGCTGGATCTAAAGCAACACAAACATCTTTATGAAACAAGTGCATTAAAGAATAATTAGTCGTATATTATTCACTTTATAATTATAAGATTATTAGATATTGAAATTCTACCATGTCTCTTTTTTATTTTACTATTGTCAATACTTAAAAAAAATAACTAATAACGCAAACAGTTAATCTATTAATAACCATGTTTTCGAACTTTGATGAGCCAATTTTTAGAAAACAATTTGTAATAATCAATAAATAGGCGGGAAATGTCTATAACGAATTATTATTAACAAGCTTGAGATTGCACAGATCTGACCTAGAGGTGTAATGTAATAATTATTGTGGAGTTTAGGATGCAAAGGCAGTTGATTTATCTAGTAGTTTAATGTTTTTTTTTATTGAAATTTTTAATTTACGATTAGAGGTAATTTTCTCACAAATTTCATATAGAATTCTTCTACTCATTCATGCAAACTGTAATATACATGTGTAATAGAAAAGGAAATATGGTAGGTATAATATGAATAAACAATCATTTTTTGAAAACCACATTATTTATTATAGAACTCCATTTTTTAAGCGTGTAAAAAATTGAAGATAACTGTTATCATATCAAACCACCTTATTTTATTGTCATGCCAAGGCTTTTTTTATAAATACGTGACCAAATTCACGCAAAATCCAAAATACTGCACTGATTTATTAATTGCTAGTGTTGTTTTCATGCCATTTGATTTTGAAACTTGGCGGGCACTGGTAAACAGCAAAAAAGAACAACAATATATTTATATTTAACATTAATTAAAATTAAAATACATATGGTAAGATTGCCGGTAATTTTTTTTGTAAAGAAACATAATCCGAATTGGATAACGAAAATTTAAAGTGGAAACGAAGCCTCATATTTTTGCAACTTTATTTGTGATTTCCCCAGGAAGTACAATATTGTTTTCAATGTACTGTTTACTGAGTGTCGATGATAAGGATTACAATGTTTTTATAAAAATTAACAATGGTGTAGGTAAGCTTTCCGATAACAAATCAATATCCCGCCCCTCAATAAAGCCATTATACAAATGCGGTCGTAAAATTATGAGAATTTACAGATAGAAATTCTAAATTAAATTAGTCTCTGTTCGGATTTTTTAATCAGTTTACCGATAACATTTTTAGTTGTTCGAAAGTTTTTCGGTATTGATTGATTCTGAACAATCTGTATAAAGACATAGCTAAAATCATTAAAAATGATAATGAAATACAAAGTGCTCTTGAGACAATTCGATGAATTGGACAATCGTCACCAAGAATGTAAGAAGGGCCAAAATTATACTACTACCTTCCCCTCCACTTGAAGTAGGAAAAAAGTGGCACTATTACAAATCTATTGAACTCTTTAACAAACCCTCCAAAATCCAATAGGGTGGCTCTAAAAAAATAAGTTGAGAAAATGGATCGAAAGCAATGTGCCTACAAATTTATAACTGTATATCCTCTGTGTATGTCACACCTAATGTTTAACAACTGAATTCTAATGGTTGTTAAATAAATTTTCTTTTCACTTATAAATTTTTTAATAATTAATTTTAGTTTTCGTGCATTAATTTTGATTTGAACTTATTTTACATTGATTTCTTGTATTTGCCTATTTGGTTTTGGTTTTCTTACTAATTTGTAATTTAAACACAATGTCTCTGTAGTACAATATGCTAGGCATCCAAGTTACAAGGTGGTAATAATAATAATAAATAATTTAGTACTAGGGACTATATTTTAGTTACTTCATGAAGATTTTTTTTTATGAACATTGGCGTTTTCTTGTCCTTGCTTAAGTCAGTACTGTAGAAGAAATTGAACCAATTGAAGTAATTAAGTACTATTCCTAGGAACCTTCTCCTTTCTTACTCACGCATATGTAACAAGACAGAATTTTATAGATGCTTAGTTTTTAAAAATTGACGAAAAAGAAAACTACATTTAAAGTAGGGATACATAGGTTTTTACCAAGACAGAGAATAAGGGAGACTATGTGGTAAATAAATAGATGAAAACAAGAGAATTTCAGCCCAATTCATCTGTTGCCTTTTTCTATTGACTTAAGCCGCTGGCTTTTCTTATCAATGAATTATGAATTTGACAAAAAAAGATCTAATTTCTATTGACTTTATTTTCATGAGTTTGCCGATATCATGACTAGTCACAGCCTTTTTAAAAGGGGGCATGAGTAGGTATATGGTATAAAACCAATCCGAAACGTGCAGTCTTTATTTTGAAACGATCCTACTGTTAAAATTTAGTAACGTGTCGCAGGTTGATTGTCGTTACAATATATTTTGCGATTAGGAAAAATTAATATTTACTAGATATGTTTTTTTTCAGTTCCACTGCGGAATCAGTATGAAGGCTAAGGAAGGAGGTCATACGGAAATGGCCCACAAGAACGTAATTGTAATAGGTAAGTTTTGTCCTTGAAACAAGGTATAATACATTGGTATTTGTCCAAGTTTTTCCTACAAGATCCTTGTAAAAAAAGATATCCTTTCTCATGATAAACATTAATACTTGAACGTCAACACCTCCGATAACAAATTGGTTGAATTTCGGCCCTGCATGGTTCATAATATTAGGAATATGTATTTTATATAATAGTTCGAAAAAAAAATTACATATTTGATGAACTTTTTTACAATTTTCGGTTAGAATTAAGTAGATAGGTCAAAATCCTGACGTGGTAAACCAGTGCTGGATCTAAAGCAACACAAACATCTTTATGAAACAAGTGCATTAAAGAATAATTAGTCGTATATTATTCACTTTATAATTATAAGATTATTAGATATTGAAATGAATATAGCAATTAGCAACTGTAATTATTATACATATAAGAATGTAACAATCTGATATAGTTACATCGACGTAAAATCGATTAAATTTAAATTAGTTCATACTACTTCTTTTAAAAAAAGAAACCAAATCCTTATAAAAACTTTAAATAACCTACTTAATAGACAATTTACCACATTTGTTAAATGTAACAATAAATATTATTATAATGGTATATTTGCGTAGTTCTTATTTTCCGTGAAAAGGCTCCGAAACGAAATAGTAGATAAACAGAAAAGAGGGTAGCAAATAAATTATTAAATGATAAAATCGATGGCGCCCTTGACTTCAAGTCTGTTGATAAACATTTCAGGCTTTCTGCGTAGTATTTTCCACTATTAATTATGTATAAACGTTTGAAAAATGAAACAACTAAACATAAGGTACAAAAGTATTTTCTATTCAACGAAATGTTTTCCTTTAATAAAGGTAACTTGTTTATGATTGACCGTTCTGAATTAATGAAAAATAAAAAAAGAGATTAAAAAGTACAATTCCTTTTTACAATACTCAAATAAAGGCAATGTATCGCCATCTGGTGGATATTTGCTCCTAATGAAGTATTTCAACTTGTTCAATTAATATATTTCTGATAGAAAACTCAAACGTCTTTAACTTCTTTATATTTAAATTTTATTTTTCTTTTTCGCCTTTTAAAAACATTGTGAACATTTTTATTTAGAATAACATTTTTGTTTTGGTTTTTCAAAACAGAAAATTTATTTACCATAATACAGCACTTATTTTGCAAAACAAATGGACGCACAATTAATTTTAATTATAATCACTACCTATACAGAACAATGATACAGATACAATGGTAGGAAGCATTAATAACAAAATTGCATAAATAACCAACATTTAATATCTTAAATTTCAATTATGAGTATAAGTAATGCCTAAATAGTTCACTTGTTTTTACAAATATTCGAAAATAGTTTGGTTTTGTATGTTATGTATTGAAAATCAACTTTGTTTAAGGTTAAATATTTCTATTACTTGTAAACAATTTGCATAATAATTGGTGATGAGACCAGCAAGACCAAACGAACAAGACTAAGACTAAAACCAAAAACGGGCATCAAAACATTTTTTGTATTTGAAATTTTTAGTTTGCTTTACTAGATTTTAACACTAAATATAAAAAAATAAACTTTACCACAGTTTAAAAAACGGGACATACAAGAACTACAAGAATGTCCTCAGAGTAAGTGCTCTTTGTTCCTATGTTTGGATAACATATAGTTGAAATATAGAGATAAAGTAATTTATGTCGTTATTTTCACTTCTATCAACCACCTTGTACTATTTTTTTCGTTAATAGTTCAATTTATGCGTTGGAGAGAGTCAGTATGTGCGTTGGGGAAAGGGTAAGTTGTTGAGTTTTCATAACTCCCACAACTATCGACACTATTTCCTGTAAATGTCATGATGAGCTCGCATGTATGACAGAAATTTTCAAGCATTGAAGACAGTTATTGTGTTGGTAATTATTGAGCAAGACCAAAACTTAACACGCAAGACCAAGACTAACACTAGAAATATTTGACCAAGACCGAATAATCAAGACCAATACCACGACTGGGAAAGTCTAGGTGTTGATCATGCTTATCAGTAGTAATCTGAATTTTACTTACTATGTACTCAGGTAATGAGTGACAGTATTTTGTGTCATTGATTTATTTTACGTTTCTAACAATTGTAATAATTTCTAATGCTATTTTTTTTTCCAGGAAATGGTCCAAGCGGTTTGAGTTTGTCATACATGTTACAAGGAAATATACCGTACGTGGTTTCTGCCGATCATCCTGATGAACTACTAGCGGCCCGCTTGAAACCGTTTGTTGGAAAGAGTTTAGTTCATCAAAATTTAAGATTTTTAGCAGAGGGCCTTGAAGGAAGATCTACCAACATGGTGTCTTTGTTATTAGACGCTCTTATTCATCCCTATGCTGACATGGGACTTGAACTACAACCTCTGGTTGAGTGGAGACCAGATGGGAACAAGGTATATTTTTCAGCTCAATTTATTATATCGTATTTGACTACTAATGGATATTTTTGGATAAGTAAACCACAGTGTATTCGGTAGAGAATATTTAGTAGAAATAACAAACTATCAATTACATCTCATGTCTTTTTCAGATGGAGCACTTGGTATTGGGAAAAGGTCCCCCGGGAGGCGCATGGCACACTATGGACCCACAAATTCTCACTTTATCGTTAGGTTCTTGGATGTCCCTACCAGGCTTGCCCTACAATTCGAGAGACGGAAGCGAGAAACGCGCTTTCGCTGGAAACATTGCTAAATACTACGAAGACTACGCAACTAAAATGGGCTTGCAAGAAAACTTCGTTTCTAACACTATAGTGACAAAAGTAAAACCTCTAAGAAACGCCAAATCACCAGAAAATCAAATTTCGGCAATGGACGTGGATGACTGTGCCCCGGAATCCAAATGTGATAGACAACAGTGTATGTGGGTAAAGAAGGTAAAAGAGGACACCCCGGAGAAAAGGAAACTATGCCTCGCTCCCGAATTAGCCGAAAATTGCAGGAAAATAGAACTTTGTCCTTTATCTAACGCTTTATACCTAATTGGATGCGGCAGGAAAAAGAAATTGAAAGGAGATCGATGTCATCTCTCATGCAATATCAAGTGCAACCCTAGTTATAATATTTTCGATAGTTACGAGAAAGTTAGTGATAATGATGTTTCAAGCTCAAGTAGTAATAATAGGTGCAGGAATCTCTCTTATTCAGAAAAGTCGTCATCAAATTTTCATGATGAACTACCTGGAAGATTTAATTATTATTGTAGAAGTTTATCTAGTTATGAAGGTTTAAATACTGACGTGCCTTGTAGTAGCAACTCTGTCGCAAATTCGTCGAACAAAGACGCAGACGTCCAACCTGTGTGGTTGGTAGAGGTCTACGACAAAGTTCAGCAAAGGTATACAACGTACACGTGTAACAATTTAGTGCTTGCCAATGGTGCTTCAGACATTCCAAACAAACTGAACTTGTCAAATCAGAAGCCCGATCCCGACTGGTTTGCTTACACTGTGAGAGATTTAGAAATTGCTCTTGACAACAGTTTTAGAAATAATTCGAATTTAAATCCCGATCCGGTACTGGTTGTTGGGGCTGGACTGAGTGCAGCTGATGCAATTATTGCAGCCAGGGGACGAAATATACCGGTTTTGCACGTTTTCAAGTCAAAGTCAGAGGGACTAAACAAACAACTACCTGAAAATATGTATCCGGAATATCACAAGGTATGGAACCAAGTTGTTCACAAACTGTTTGCCACGAGGCACGGCTCTAAACTAGAGCACTAAAATTTGAAAATTAAAGCCTTTTTTTACATTTTTGCCTCTCAGTTCTCATGAATTCCTAATTTCAAGCTAAAAAGTTTCTTACTTCCATGAATATTTGTTCTTTCAGTCAATCATCAAAATTGCTGTTAACCAATTCCTTAATTTTCAAAAATTACTCCGTTTTTTGATTTCTACCTTTCTTCTTTCACCTTCTTTCATTTTTGTTGTTATTTGAATAATAATAATGCAGTGGATTTGTGTATTGTATTTTAATACATATAAACCAAGATAAACCAAAAACGATGAACAGAGAAATAAAAAGCAATATAATACATATAAGTATAAAACGAAAGGGTTTAAATAAACGGAAAGAAATGATAACGATAACGTGGTAACACAAACGACGCGCACAATAACCCGAGCAGTACTTTTTACACACTAACTCGCCATGTCTCGTCACGTACGCCAAGGGGTATAAAATCGATAAAACACCTGAAGTCAATTCAGCAACCACTTGCCTGATTAGTGGCGTCGCTCACGGACTTTGCGGTCATTTCCTTAACACCTCCCCTCAAAGTAGTGAGTGACTGCCCTTGTTTGTGCATGGGTCCCTCAGTCTGATTCTCCTCCACATTAGTCATGCCAAGACTACGTAAACAATTTTTATGTTTTGTGCCATTTAGCCCTTTTGTCAAAACATCAGCAGGCATCTGTTCTGTAGATAAATATTCCAAGTTAATGATCTTTTCTTCATATGCATCTCGAATGAAGTGGTATCGGACTGCAATATGTTTTGTTCTTGGATGGTAATTTTTACTTTTTGCCAACTCTATCGCACCTTGATTGTCGTTATATAATGTCACGTACTCATTTTTCATACCAATTGTGTTTAATATACTTTTTAGATACATTGCCTCTTTAGTGGATTCAGAGAGAGCCATGAATTCGGCCTCCGTGCTCGACAATGCAACTGATCGTTGCTTTCTCGCTTCCCAATATATAGCTGCTCCGGCTAAAATAAAAGCCATTCCAGAATAACTCTTTCTGTCGATTATGTTTGAAGCCCAGTCAGAATCAATCACGCCAAATAGTGGCAAGCCAGTTTTGTGATATTTTAAGCCATAGTCAGATGTACCCTTTAAATATCGTAGTATTCTTTTAGCTGCTTTCCAATGCTCGGTACTATAGTTCGTGTTGAATTGGCTTAGGCAATTCACAGAAAATGCGATGTCTGGCCTTGTTGATATCGCTAAAAACATCAATGCACCGATTAGACTTTGATATGGGAACTTCTTCATTAGTTCTTCATTGGCACTTTCAGGTTTAGCAAGCTTTGTGTTTGCTTCCATANTTAATTAATATTTAATTTGATAATATCAAATGGTTAATATATTATTTGTAGTATATAATGTATACAAATAAAAACAATTAAGTACCAATAATATCTAAAAGATTTTTCAATAGCTTACGTGATAATATATTAAACTAATAATGAAGATAAAAAATACGAAAATAGAATTCATTTTTGGATATACATAGATATTTGTGATTCTTCTATAATTTTTTGGAATAGCAACTTCTTTTTATTACTTTTCTTTCAATTATTAAATTTGCATTTTAACTGAATATATTTCTCACAAATATTCTCTGGCCTTTCTTGGACTATTCCACGGAAAATAATTTGTCCCTTGACATTTGCAAATTTTCTGTATGATTACCTTACTAGTACTAAATCTCAGAAATAGCTAACAGTGCTGCAAAGGCTTAATATATTGTGTAATAAATCAATTTGCTCCTTAATTGATCTATACAGAAGGCATCATCGTAAAATTAAATCTATTTAATTTTGTGAACCAAAAATGATAAATTATCTTTAACACTCACCAAAAATTGCAGCTCCGAAGGGCCTAGGGACCTACCTGAAAGTAAAATGAAATTTGTTTTTAGTTCTACAACAATCGTGACATTATTATATATGTACATGACTTTATTTCCTTTTAGGTTCACCAAATGATGGTCGATGGTGGGTCTTCCTATCCCTTTTATAAGGCTTTACCTGGATATACCTTAACCGATTTCAATGCTTCAAAAAAAATAGTAGAGCTGACGTCAAATACCGGAAAGAGTGAAACAGTTAGCGTATCGTTTGCAGCTATTTTAATAGGATCTCGACCCGATCTTAGTTTTCTGCCTGAGAATTTCAATTTAGGTGTAAACAGAAACTTGCCAGTTGATTGTAAAACAAATCCTATTGATATCGATCAATTAACTCATGCGGTAAACGGTTACAATGGCCTGTACGTGATGGGGCCGTTGGTTGGTGATAATTTTGTAAGATTTATACCCGGAGGTGCTTTAGCCATTCTTTCTGATTTATATAGAAAATATGGCTACTGATTGCTTATTAGACGGTTCAATTAGTAAAACGCAATAGTGCCTAAAAGAAATGAAAAAATCAAATTTAAATTACAACTTTAGATACCGCAAAAAAATAGCTTTTTTTATTCACCTAAATCCAACCGTACTTCAATTTTTAAACAAATTTATCTATACGTAAAGTAATTTATTATATACCTTTCTTTTTGTGATACTTTTTCACCAGTCCAATAAATTTCGTTAAAGTGATTTTTAATAAATTAGTTAGTGTTAAAAGTATTTTTGATGATAATAATTATAAACCGCGCTAAACTAAAGGCATTTACTGAAGATTGTTCATTTTAAATTATTTTCTGAATCGTGTATTTAACAAATTTTCTTTTCTGAGAAAATTAAACGTACTTATGTAACTTGTTACAATAACTACGAACGTAATGTTTTAGTTAAATAGGTAAAAAAATATTTAAACCTTTTTTATATAATATATTTTTTTGTAAACACGTTGTTGTTTTGCCTCTTTTGGCTGTTGTTAGTAATCTTAATAAATAGTTGTTTTGTTTTTAGTGTATAATTTATCGTATTTGAATAAGGGAACCCCAATTCTTTTACGTTAATGCAAATGAATTTAATTGTTATTATTCTTACGGTGTTAAACAAGCTAGCCTTTTTGTTAATGTAATGAAATTATTGTTTTTATTGAAACTACTTACCACAATCAAAAATAAGAAAAGAAAACAATAGAATAGTAATGTTTCACAGCAGAATTTATTTCAATAAAAAGATGAAAATCGCCCCCCTTGCAGCGGGTTTATAAAGTTATTTAAAATATATATATATTTGTTGTATTATTCCTTATACTTAAACTTACAAAAGATTTTTCTGTGTAAATGTGTAATATTGTAATTTATAAACGACAGGCTGTTGCACTATAGCAAAATTATAATTTTTGTGTACTGCGTTTCAGTTTTTGGGCTTTCTGGCTATTGTTTTTGGAATTTATATTCTCAAAGGTGGCGTGGTAGTGGCAGTCGAAGATGTCTCACAAATCGCTCGATGGCGAGCGACTTACCGTACTGTAGGCGAAACGTCGGTAAGTAATTTCCAATAGTGATGAGCAAAATTGATCTTGTTCTTGCATAAAAGACCAAGACCGAACGAACAAGACCAAGAGGAAATACGCAAGATTAAGCGAAAAATTATTACTTCCGGTGAATTTATGAGTAAAACTATTTAAAGCAACTTTATTATATTCTTTCCTTAGAACAAAACATCTTTTGCATTTGAAATTTTTAGTTTGCTTTACTGTATTTTAACACTAAACATAACAAAGGAAATTTTATCACTGGTAGAAAAAAAATATCTACAAGAATCTCCTCGAAGTATGTGTTTTTGGTTTTTTATATTTGTACTTTTTTTTGCTAAATTTCAAGTTATGCATTGAAAAAAGGGTCAATTTATGCATTGGAGTAAAGTTTTCATAAAAAAAGAAAAATTTATGTTTAAGAGTTATTAAAAAGACGAAAGTATTAAAAGAGTACGACGAAAACTTAACACGCAAGACCAAGACGACGACTAGAAATATTTAAGCAAAACCAATACTAAGACTGGAACGGTCTTGGTTTTCCTTTGCTCATCACTAATTTCCAAAGACAGCTACGAAGCCCGAAAACTAAAATACAGCATACATTAGATACCGGCCGTGAAAGCTTACACAAACTTTTTTTGTCTTCTATTTCTAAGAATGATGAAGATTGGTGCAATTTAAAGCGTTTCAAAAATATTTGAATTTATTTAAGGTGCTTATTTAAGCACAATAAATGTGAAAATATACGTATATTTAAAAAAATNCTATTCTGTGCTAATCTTCGCATTTTTTCTAAAACTATCCCACTCCTGTTTCTGCTTCTAATGTCCCTAACTAGCCCTTCATGCCTAAGAAGGTGTCCTACCAACCTATCTCGCCTATTTTTTATTGACTTTCATAGAGTCCTCCGTTCTCATCTTCTTTCTAATACCTCTTCATTTCTAACCTTCTCTATCCATGATGTCGGCGCTCCAGACGTACACCTTTAACAACTTTTTTCGAATTTATAAATTAACCGTTCGCGAGCATAGAAATAACTTCTTTTTATAAAAAGCGACTCGACCCTGCGCTATTTTCTGTTTTATATCTCTACTGCTCCTTCCATCCTGAGTTATCTAACTTCCTAGATACCAAAAATAAGTCACTTCTTCTAATGTTTCGTCTCCTATCTTTATATTCATTCTTTCCCAATTTTTTATTCCCTTTTGTACCACTATTTTTGTTTTACTTTTATTTATTTTCATACAATACTGTTTTGTCAATACCGCTTCCATTTTATTTAACTCCTCTTTACTTAGATGATAATACTACTACATCATCTGCAAATCTGTATTATTCTAAAGTCTCCACTCCAGAACTGGCTAACAGGCTTCATTAGCACTATATCTAATAACTATTTGTAAATTTTATTATTTATTGACACGAACTAGAAAAAAAGCTTATTTTGAATAAAATAATAGGTATTGTTATTGATTATTCGGGTTTCGGTGGTTTGGGTTTTGTTTCGTGTCGACGTTTCGTAGGGTATTTTTAACTCCTCCTTGCTAGATGCTAATACTGCTACATCATCTGCAAATCTGTATTATTCTAAAGTGTCCACTCCAGAACTGGCTAACGGACTTCATTAGTACTATATCTAATAACTATACGTAAATTTTATTATTGATTGACACTAACTAGAAAAAATCTTATTTTGAATAAAATAATAGATATTGTTATTGATTATTCGGGTTTCGGTGGTTTGGGTTTTGTTTCGTGTCGACGTTTCGTAGGCTAAGTGGTGTATTTGGGCAGTATAGACTCGATTCATTCGATACAGAAAAGAGTACAAAGTCAGCAGTAACGACGCAAAGGGCGCGGTCCGCCCTAGGTGCCAAGCACTAGGGGGTGATAATAGTGGAAAAAGCAATTTCCTAATGTGAAGACATGAATATTTCGATCGAATGATGAGGAAGAAGGAGATTTCGAAAAGTATGCCAGGAGAAATAGTCCAAGAAGCTGGATTAACATTGCCAGAAGGATTGTACATAGTTATTTTAGAATATCTTGATAGATTTTACGGAGAATTAGACTATCGTTACAGGGCAATGGATGACATTCTCATAACATTAGGTGTTGTTCAGTCTAAAATTCTGCTTACGTCAACACAAAAAAAACTTTATGAAATAATTCCAACTCTGACAAAAATCTATGATGAATTTTCCGCAGAGTACATTATTTTGGAGATTTTACGACTGAGGCACCACTTGGAAGCATTTCTCTATGAAATGCGGTCCAATGGACTACCTTGGACCTTCTGAAATTCATTGTAAAATAGGACTATTTTGAGTCTGTTCCGAGTCTTGACTTTTATTTATTTGTGTTTCAATGGCTTCTTGTGAAAAAAGAAGTTTCTTAAAATTAAAGCTGATAAAATCTTACTTAAAATCTACAATGGGCCAAACGTGACTTACCAATCTTTCCATATTGTCCATTGAAAAGGAGAGGAAAGCAAATTTTGATAATGCAATAAAATATTGTAGCATAATAGTCACGTAAGCATGTTTACTATTTGCTCTTTTATTATGAGGGTGTTCAATATAAAACCGCTCCGGTTACCAAGTCGGTGATTGTTTGCAAAAACGTCTTATTTTTCAATATAGGATCTTTTTTCATTACGTTATGGTTTATAATATATTTAGTGGATGGACAATTACGAAAATTAAAAATAATTTAAATGTGTTTATTTGGGGTAAGTCGCTTTTCTATGGAAAATACACCGCATCTGCCAAATTGCTAGTAAGAAAGTATTAAGTGCCACGTCGGAAAATCGATTTTAGGAAAATTTTGGCACATCTCCATGATTTGGCTTAGATTTGATATTGTTTTAAGAATGTTGCCGTCAATATTTGTACATTTGTTAACACGTTGTGAATATTTTAACCACTCTTTTTAAGTCGTAAACAAAATCCTAAAACAAAGTTATAAAGAAAACTCCCAGTAACGAAAGAAAATGATTAGTGCATTTTACTATTTTGATATAGCCAGTTTACACTATCAAACTATAGTTTGTTTTTTACAAAAAAAATCATAAAATATTTCTTCTTTTATCTTGCACTTTCCTACAATAAGCAACGAAACAATTTCGAGCTGATTTGGCGTGAGCATTTCCCGGGTTATTGTTCTCTCGCTTTTAATGCCAAGGTAGTAAACTTTTGTAACGTTTAAATAAACGTCATTAATAACAGAGAAACCGAAACTAAAATCAAACTTCCTCTTTTTGTTGCCAAATTGGCAGACGATCAATTCAATATTATTATGCAGCGGACTTAGATCTGCCAAACATCAATTTCTAATCAAAGTGACCGATCAAAAATTGTATAAAAACTTAGTCGATTTATAAAAAAGTAGACTGTGGCGGTGAAAATAATTAAATCAAATATCAAAAAGACTAAAAGGTACCCCAATTAACTACAACATTTCTAGTTAACACAGACATGTATTTCCATCATTTATGTTTTAAACATTTTTAATGCATGTCTAAAAAAATTAAATCAAAAAGGACTTACCACAATTAACCACAACAGTTTTAGTTAACGTGGACATATGTTTCGTTAAGAGAATGAAAAATGCGCTCCCATTAATTAAAAGTATTGTGGCTAATTGGGGTAGATTAGTTTTATTTCAATTTTTTTCTCTTGCACTGAAAATGCTCGTTTGGGTAAATGTCTAGATGATGGGATCGAAAGAGGAGGTCTCCCCCACCAGTGTACCATAAAAACTTCGTGGCGGTCTCACTCCCATAAAAAATTATGGGGGTTGAAAGTTGATTATTTTGACAATTTGCATACACTGTAATTCAAATAAAATTCAATTAAAATATTATTTTCAAGCGGGTGGAGGTGAGGGATCGAAAGAGGGTGGTTACTTGAACAAAACCCGATAACCTAACCTAACCTATTCTATTNTTTGTTTACTTATTTTCAACAAAACATTGGAATTCAGTAACAAACTATAATCCTTTAAAGTAGGAACAAAGGATTTATTGAAATATAAATCTTCATCTACATTGAATCAAAACTTTTGTCAATTACGTGTATACTCCCTATAGAAAAATGCATAGATACATTTTTAAGGAGGTAGATTATTATAGTTGTGGTTAATGAATATATGTTAATTGAACACAAATATAAGCATATGCATGCATATTTTGTACTAAGGTTTTAGATTTTATATTCTACCGTTCTATTTATGTTTGGGAGGGTTCAGATAACTGTTAATTTTATTTGTACGTTTATTGGGTGCAATAAATTTTATTTTATTAAGTGAGTCTAATTAAATAGTCCTTGGATCAATTGGATACTTAGGTAATAAGACCAAATTCCAATAATCTTATTCTAATAAAACAGGAGCGTGCTACGGGATTTTCTTCTACATAAAATATTGAAAAACATGTGAAATGTTAACAAGTTGCTGTTAAGTTTAAATTGAAGAAATCTTTTTCGAACTCAATTACCTATGTTATAACCGAATTTGAAAACACAAATTGCGTTTATTACAAACATAGTCCATATTTCTATATTTCATACACCACAGTGTTCAGATTTCATGAGCGGTTTTTTCTATCCCTTTCGTTCGTTAGAATCCAAAATTATTTTATTTGTTTGCTCCTGGAATAGCACTGCCTACGTAAAAAAAATTAAATCAAACTGAGTTTCCGTGGCTTTTAAAATTTCGAATTTCTTCAAACAGATGCATGAATAACATTGGTAAAGGAAGGAGTATGTAAGGTCATATTTAGCATATTTTACATTTCAGTAATTTTATATTTTTAATAGAAATGTGTTTACAAAAAGGCATCATTTTGGTATCGAAACATGTTGAATGATTTACATTATGGAAGATGTCCATTTTTATCTGCCATTATGTAGTATTATGAAACCAGACTTTTTTTCTCGAAAGCAATGTTTGTATGAGAGCCACTGCGGTAACCATGTAAGGAGTGAAAATACCTGTTTTATTTGTCAATAAAACTTATGACTAACCACTTACGGCTAAAAGGAGGCTATAGGCAATTAATAAATGTTTCAGAAAACTGCGGGTACTACGAATTATAATTTACACACATTAAATCTTAATGTTTTCGTAGTAAGTACTTATCAGTTCATATTCTCGAAAACATATCAGAGAAAAATACGTTTTAACTTTAGTTTTTCAAAATTGTTTCCTGTGAGACGATTTTTTCATTTATGATATAGTTAGCTGATATTTATTAGAAACACAACTTGTTCGAAAGATCCGTATTGAATTCAATTTAAATTTTAAACGATTTAATATATTATTTAAAATATATACCAAAAGTAAAATTTATAATAAAACATATATGGAGTCTAGGCTTAAATTGCTTTAAGTTCTAACTAAGAAAATTTTGAGTTCACACGATAATGCAATCAAAGTGTTTGCTATGAAAAATAGTAAAAAAATCAAGATGCTGCAATTCTTTATCATATGCATATGTACAAAAATCACTAAAGCTTTCATTCAATCCATGACATACACAATTACTTGGGACATCCAAAATTTTAATCCGCCATAATCGTATTTATAATTAAAAATTTGGAGAAAGGGAATTTTTGCAATTTTCTGAATAAACAGAGACCTGTTTACATCTATTACAAATTTAATTAAAGATCACTCCATAAATTTTTGGAATGAAATTCTCTAGAGAATGCTCCCTCCTACTTCGAACTACGAAGGGGATCAAAACTAATCCAATTT